GTGCGGTGTATCGCTTTTGTAGCCAAACCTAAGCCACACTTAATGCTGTTCTAGCAATTCCGTGTATCTACTCCTAGAAGATAATACTGCTTTTAATATATCAACTTGTATATTTCATCCTTCATATAACATTTGCTTTTTCTCTACACAACTAATATTTTAGGGGAGCTTCCTCATCAGTACATATAGTTACTTCATCCTTTTTTAAGATTTATGTATTATTTTTATTGGAAAATCGAGTTTACAGAAAGGAGGAGAGACAGAGAGAAAGATCTCCATCTACTGGGTCACTCTCCAGTTGGCAGCAACGGCCAGAACTGAGCCAATCCGACTGAGCCAGGAGGGTCCTTGAGGTCTCCCATGGGTGCAGAGTCCCAATGCTTTGGGATATCCTCTACTGCTTTCCCAGGCCACATGCAGGAAGCTAGAAGGAAAGTGGAGCAGCCAGGACACGGACCGATGTCCATATGGGATCCCAGCATATGCAAGGCAGAGACTTGAGCCACTAGGCTGCTGTGCTGGGCCCCGGTTTCTTCATTGTTTTTTGACTACTGCATAGTATTGTAGAGTACAGGTTTACTCAACAGTCCCTCTTATTCCGCCCCCTCCCCATTTATTCATATCCCTTTGTTTGTCTAGTAGTGGTTACTGAGCAGTGGGATTCCTGGACCCGGGAGTGCAGTCGGCTAGCTTTTGCTCAGCTATCTCCGTGTAGTTGTTCTGATGACAGCAAGTGTCATTGTCCCCACTCCCGACAGCACTTAGCATGACCAAGGCTTTTGCTTGTTTCTTTCCTGAATGATGACATTCGTTATTGCTTTAGTCTGCATTTCTCTAACTGTGGCTAACATGAGGCATAGCTTCTGTGCCACGCATGTATCTTCCGTGAATTGCTTGTTTCTTAATCCTTTGTCTTGCAGCCCATTTTTCTTGTTGCTTTTTAGGAGCTTTAGAATGATAGTTTATGGTCCAATCTTGCATCTGTTTGGTGTCACCAACATCTCCTTTAGCTTCTTGCTTTTAAGCTTATTTATGACGTGCCGTTAATTTTTATGGAGACAAATTCATCAGGCTTTGCCTTTATGACTTATGTTTATTACGACCCCAGGAAGCCACTCTGACTGTCATGGGGGAACTCGGTCTCATTCCATCATTTTGAGTTTTTAAGGCTTGAAACAGGCGCCAATGGTAAATTCAAGTAGAATTCTCTAAATGCCCAATGATTGCTTTTGGATGGGGCAGAAATAAACGTGTACACTGGGGATTTTCAGGGTCGGGGAGGTGTCTGGAGCCACAGGCATAGAGAAGACGCCCAGAGAAAGCCTGTGGCCCTGGAGAAGTGGAGCAGGACACGGGTGTCCGTAAGCAGTGTAAGCAGTGCCGTCAAGGCTGAAGCACTGGCTACGGGGCAGACCTGCAGGGGGTGGGGAGCGGGTGGAAGGGAGGCCAGGGAGGGAGGGAGGGAGGGAAGGCAAGCTTTACTACAGCTGGCCTGGCCACTCACATCACTGCTGCTCTCCCCGCCTGTATCCTGTCTTCTGGTCTGTTTCCAAGGAGATCACTTCCCGGAGAAGGCCACAGGTACTCTCCTCTGTGTATTTCTAGCACCGAATGTGTTGCCTGGGCATAGTGGCCATCATTTATTCAACATAGATTCATCCATACAGCTATTGCTTTACAAATCTTCCAGTCTGTCTAGAAAGGTCTGCGGAATGCCTGCATTCTGAGCACATCTTACAGCCAGGACTGCGCTGCTCTCGCTCAGCCATGTAACAGTAACGCAGAGCGCTCGCTGCCCTGCTCCCCCCTGCGCTCCACCCCTCCCCCTCCGCTTCCCGCCGGGAAAGGACCTGGGGGAAGAGTGAGATTTCACCTGTGAAACCGCTGACTGCCCAGGAGTCTGCAGGGTCCATCGGTGCCAGCCCCTCTGATGTGGCCTTGACCAGCGGGAGGTTTCCCACTGGCCACTGTTCACCTGGTGTTACTTTGTGGATTTATGAAGCAGCTTTTCTTAAACTGTCAATCTGTAAATTGTCTGTAAAATCGAGTCCACAGGGGAAAGAAATGGAATTATTCATAAGGTAGAGTCTACCTCAGTTGCTGGCAAAATTACTCACTCGGGGCATAATTAAGTCATAGATGCAGTGACCAGAGTGTGGGTAAAGGTGGGAGGAGCTGATTCCTGCTCCAATCTGGTGCTTACTATTGCTCCACGGGCTTCTGGTGTGTCAGTGCATGGACAGAGGAGAACTCGAGCGTCTGTGTAAAGAGGAGAGAGGTTTGGCAAAAGAATTGCTGAATAACTTGCTGGGCGGGGGAAGAATAAGCATTGTTGCAAGTTTAAGGTATGAACGGGGGCAACCGACAGTGAAAAGCAATAGGCAGTGAATGTGGTTGGGACCTGAGAGAGGCAGAGGCCGCCGGGAGAGGGGTTGCTCGGCAGTTCTCACCTAGACGGCCGAGAGCGTGCAGGTGCCCGGGCGAGCTGACCAGGCTGCTCGGTGGCCGCTGCACCGCGCAGGCCGCTTGGGCCTCTGTGACGGTCACCTCTGCACGTGGTACTCTCTCGTGCCTGCATGTTGGACAGGGTGGGTCCCCATCCCAGTGAACAACACAAACACACCTGTTGCAGACAAAGTAAAATTTATTGAGACAGACGGAAATGCACCTACTTGGGACTACACTTAAGCATTTACTAGTAACCAAGGAGTTGTGTTCACATTCCAGATCAGCGCACATGGAAAAGCATCCAGAATTCACTAGTTGTTCTGCATCACTATTTCATCTACAAGAGGGACAACAAATTGACACTCTGGATCTGGTGGGCTGCCACTACAATGCTCCACATGAGACAGGAACAAACATCGTGACCTTGAGAAAAAGCTGTAAAAGAATGAAACCATCCGCTGTAGAAAGGGCTCTATTCCTGTACAGTGTGGTCAAGGTTAAAATAAAGCCGGATTCGTGTGGCGTCCTGGGAGGAGCAGAGGGGCACGCCTGACAGCGTTGCTGCAGGTTGGGAAACGGGCCCAAAGGAGGGAAGGCTGATTTAAACAAATAACCTGAAACCTCCAAGTGAGTATTAAGGTATCCCCATGCCTGAACTATTTACAAAAACAGAAAAGAAATGAACATGTCAGAAAGCTAACCCTGACAGAAGGAAATCCTGGGATTTAAGTTGAACGCCAAGGACATGTCAGTAAATGAAAGGGCCGTCTGTGGGATAAGGCTGGTCCGTAAGGAGTGCTGAAGCTGTTACTGAACATGTGACGTGGTAAAGTTCTCAGGCAAGGGATTGGATTATCACTGTAGTTTTTAAGTCAATATTGTTTATTCTTGGTCGCTGAAACTAAAGAGCCCATCTCCAAGAGAAGAAAGTAAACAGTTTTCTGCTGAAGCCGCAGTAATATAAAATCCACTGTCTAGCATTGACGGGGAGTACAGTGGTGTCAATGTTACTGCCTTGATTCAGGGTTCTCGTCTTAGGAGGGGTTTTTTATTTAACATTTTAATAAATGAAAATACGTTCTTGGAACCTGAAAATGGTGTCTCTTCCTCAGCGGGAACTGCCTGTTGAACACCCTTCTCCGTCATTAAGTTAATGTTAAGGATCTTGAAGTGTCATCTTAATTTGACACTTGTCATAATTAGGCATATTAAAATCAGTTCACTGTGTTCCTGGAAGTTCCTCTGAGTAAAACGGGCGGGTCGATTGTAGTTTGTGCTTATGGATGTTTTCTGAGCTCACAGTGGTGTTCATCTCATAGTTTAAAGAAGAGTTCTTCATATGCCTTTGTTTTTTTTTTATAGATTCTATTCAATTCTGTAATTAAGCACCTGTTTCTAAGTTATAGTTTCAAAATTGTGTTCATGTGAGAAAAGAATTGAGACAGATGGAGCTGACACCTGAGGGCGGAGCTGCCCTGTGGTCTGCCCATCGGGAAAGCAGGAACCCTACGGTCCGGCTGGAGCCCTGGCTGCCAGAGGTGTCCGTTGCATTCAGTATGTTCATTCCTTCGGAGACGGGCTCTGGGGATAATGCTACCTACTCTAGCTGATGCAGGGGCTGGCCGGGTGCTGACTGCAGGGGACTGGTCTGTGGAAACGGTCGGCTTGCGGCAGCAGGTCAGCTAGCTGCTGCTGGAATCATAGTTTGAATATTTATATATATATTATATTTTTTTCTTTTTTGCCTGAGTTTATGTCATTGTCTTATAGACTGGATGATGTCCATTGGGGATGGCAAGAGGAAGGAATGTGGGCCAGAGAGCTTGGCAGGGCGGGCTAGTGGATTAGGGCAACTGGATAAGTGGAAGCAGGTGGGCAGGGAGGGTCAGGAGCAGCACTGACCTGAACGGGGCCACTCCGGAGACTCTTTGGTACTTGGACCTGGGCCAGCTGGAAGGTGGGGATCCTAGGAACTGCGGAGACACGAACCCTTCGGGGGTCAGGACAGGGGGGAAGGAACAGTGTGGCAGGTGGTGCTCTAAGAACCCCGGTGACTGCGGGACTCCATCCGTGGCTCCCCGCAAACCATGGCGAGTAAGGAGACGTGGGACGGCCTTTGTGGCCTTGGGATTTGTGGCCAGAGAGGGGCTAAAAGCACCCTACGCCGTCCTGTCTGAAGGAACTCTGGGAGACCAGGTTGGGGTGCAGACCTCAGCAAAGCCCTTGAGTCGGCAGGAAGGCAGGAAGCCGCAGCAGAGCGGAGTGCTGCGGCCCGAGGGGGCTGAGAGCCGAAATGGAAGGGATGGCTGGTGAAGCTGCCCACGTGGGAGTCGCATGGCTTCTGCGAGAAAAGTGATTTAGGCAGACGTAGGCTTATCCGAATCAAAGAGGCTTCTAGGAACTGAGCTGAAGCAGAGCGAAGCGGCCCCTCAGCCCGCAGGCTACAAGTGCCAGCTGTGAGTGCAAAGAAAGAGCTTTGATGCAAATTCCCTACTCCAGAAATCGTATTCCAGGTCTGGACAAGCTGACAAATTTTAATTGTTTTTCAAATGAGTTTTTAATAAGATAGCCCAACACTGCCTGTGAGAGGTGTGAGCAGGGCGTGCGCACGTGTGCACACACACACGGAGCCTGTTGCATATCTGCATACAATTTAAGCTTGTGCAGCAAGAAACATCCAGACACCAATTTTTAATAAAGAACGTGGACTCCTTCCCCGCCCCCACCCAGGGGACTCGGCTGAGTTAAGGCTGTGGTTGGTAGGAAGCCAGATAGTGATGCGAGAAATGAATTTGGAAATAATAAACACCCAGGGCAGTCAGTAGTGGGGGGTACAGTGCGGTGCGTTTTCCACAACAGCTACAGGACACACGAAGAGCACGGGACGCAGTAAGGCTGGGAACCATGCTGTGCCCGCCCCGCCAGGAGCCCGGGCGCCCTGCACTGTCACGAGGCCACGGGAATCACATGCTGGGCGCAGGACGGTCACGGGAGGAGAGGAGGCTGTGGCGAGGCCAGCCCGTCCCCTGTCCGCACACACGACGAACACAACACCCTTTGGCCCACACAACCGTATGCACGGTCGAAGTGGCAGCGGGCGGCTGTCTGCAGTCCTCGGGTCGGGCATCGGGAGCGACGGTGGGGAAGCGGCCTCGGCGGCAGCGCCTTGCAGTCTTTAGATACAAATGCAGGAACAGGAGTGACAGGCAGTGGTAGGCCACACCCGTGCCCCCTTCCTCGAGGGGGCCCTACCAGATGGAGCCCATCTCCTCCTCTTTGTCGTCGTCCTCGTCCTCGTCGTCCTCCGCCACGGCCCGGCTGTGGACCCTCAGCTTGCCCTCTTTGTCGTGGGGCCCCAGCTCCCGCTCGTCCTCCAGGTCATCCAGGAGGACCACCGAGCCGCCGCTGCCGAAGTCCCCCGACGTCTCCTGCTCTTCCTCTGGCACAGGAAGCAAAGAGGGGAGGTGAGCTCCTACTTCTGGCTCGGCGCCCGTGTCGGGGAGGGAACAGGCTGTTGGCCCCCTGACCACAGAGCACCCCTGTCTGCCTGGGGTCTACCAGCATACAGATGGGAGCCCTGGGGACCCGCCTTCTCTACATCTGACGTAACTGTCAGAACCCGCTGCTGATGGCAGGTTCCTGCCAAGGGTCTAGCTAGCGAGGGTGCCTGCATCTGCCCCAGACACCCACCAGGGGCCAGAGTCGCCCCTCAGGAACTCGGGGGAGGGGGTGGGCCGAGACCCTCATGTTGGGGACCCCCTAGCAGGGCTGGCGCTCGAGGCCTTACTCACCGCAGCTCACCGCGCCCTGCTTCCGGGAGCCAGCCAGCTCGTTCCCGTATTTGTCCACACACCAGCACTGGCCAGTGCTGCCGTGGCACTGCGTTGCCTTGTAGTAGCCCTCCTCGTTGCAGCGCGGAATGAAAGCCCCTGTGGGAACAGAAGAGCAGAGCTGACCGCGCAGCAGGGGGATGCTCAGGGGACTCCCGCCTGGGGTCCGCAGCGGGAGAGGAGAGGACCGGCTGGGGCTCACAGCTCTTAACCCCAGGAACTCCAGGGCGCTGTGTGCGCTAACAGAAGCTAAGGCCTTTGCTGCATCTAACTGGGAGGTGACTGTGCCAATACCTTAGCTCGCGGCTAAACCGAGTGAGTGGTCGATTGGACTTGGGTAGCTCACTGAAGGTTTGAGTTCCGTCCAGTCCTTCTGTATTGAGCTGCATTTCCGTCCGGCGTAGGCACTGCTACTACCAGTTCGTCTTTTAACATGTGAGAAAACCATGTGGTTTTTTACCCTCCACGCCTGGTGGCCCAGCATTAGGAACCCTCTACGGTCATGTCATGAAGTGACAAGGACACTTCATTTTGTTTGCGTTTGCTTAGTTTCCTATGGCAGTCCTGATTGAGTGAATGTTTGGGTGTTTCTGTACTCTAGACATGCAACATAAAGTGAGGCAGCCTTGAAGAATTTGCCCAAGTATTTTATACCTGCTGCTCATGTTTGAAGGGGGGAGTGTGAGAGGCACGCCTTTGATTCATTTCATGGCTTAGATCTAAGTGTATTGTCTGTTCCTTTGTGCTAAAGGTAACCACATCAGTTTCATAAGTGTTGCACAAACAGGTCCGCAGAGCAGTTTCTGAGAGTGGTCCCCGAACTCCCGGAGCCCTGGGAGGGAACCATGGAGGGAGAGGGCTCAGCTGACAGCCCTTTTCCAACCAGCCCTCAGCCTGGCCTTTTCCCTTGCCCGTCGTGCCCCAGGCCCCCGTCTCCGCTAGCTGGTTCAGGGAGCCGCCTGAGGTGCCACGCGTGCCTGCATGGCCGTCACCTGGGTTTACGGCGATGCTCTGACAAGTTTCTGAGCTGCATGTCCAGCTGATTTCTTGGAGTGTCTTGAGCGTCCGTGAGTGCATCTGAAGCCGCGAGGTTTCACTGCGGTCGCCCCCGCGCATCCTGCTGCACCCGGCTCTTGTTTTCACTCAGTCGGAAATCTTTTGCAGTTTTTATATCATTTCATCTTTGATCAATATTGATGTGAACTAAGACGTCTGGGCTGTAGGTAATCTCATTTATTACTCATGTTATTGTATTGCGGCCATCAAGTCTGAGCTGTGCTACTGGGTTGGAAATCAGTTGCTTTCTGTGATTTTGACTATAGCAGATTATTTCAGCCGTGTTTGAAAGACAGGGTGTTCAGGCCATAAACACGAGGCTAATCAATTATGCTGCTCAGTTATCCTGTGTTACTTATAAATTGAGAGGGGTATATTAAATTATAGATAGGACCAATCCCCATTGAAATTCCATTACAATTTGCCTTAAAGCACCATTGATAGGGACATTTATGCAAGATGCTATTCTTTTTGTTACTTTTTTTTCCACAATGCCCAGTATTTGCTTTTTTCAGATACTAGTGTTATAACAAAGAGTGTTTAGGGTTTTTAAAAATTCAATTTCTGTGAGAAAATTTAGGTTTGCCTTTCTTTAAAAATAAGATTTGGCCCAATCACATTTCATGTAATTACAGAATGACACATTGCTTATCCTCCAGAAACGAAAAAGTGTGTTGAAAAAAAATGGTATGGGTTTCAAAATTATTGCAAAAATTTTGGGGTAGGGGGGAAGCACTGTCACGCTTGCGTTTGGGATCCATTCTCCTCACATTTTACACCATCTGACTTTATTACTTCATGCCTTCTGATAAGGTTTTTAAAATGTAGTCTTAAGACTCAGATGGATCCCCCTAAATTTTACGTTTTTTTTTTTCCTAGTAAGACCCAAAGCTAATCTGTGTTTTTAAATAACCCCCTTATTCTCTCGGCCCCAACAGTCTGGAATTGAGTTCTAGCTCTAGAACTCTCTGCTAGTCCCTTTCCTCCCACGCCCTGCTGGGGTCATTTGGAGTAACTCCCTCATTGATCCTGCCGAGGCTCGGGGCTGGCGCTTTGGAGCCGTCCCCAGCAGCCGACATGGACGCTCACTGATGACGATGCAGCTCATCTTCATGTTAGCTCTGGCCTCCATGCAGGGCATGTACGCATTTATTTCATGACCATGTTTCATCTTCTGTAGGCTGACCTGCATAATAACACGGCTTCTCCCAACCTCATGGTTTATTAGAATGCTCCCAGAAAGAAATGTGGCGAGGGAGGGAGGGAGGGAGCGAGGGAGGGAGGGATTGAGACCCAGATCAGGTAGTCCAGGAGCTGCACTTTAAATACCCTACACCCCAGGTTACTTCACAATGACTGGTTTTCAGAGATCACTTCATACCATGGGCGGGAGGGTGCCCATAGTCTGGAGCTCCTGGGCCACCTTATCTTTTGCTTAGGAAACGCTGGGCCACCACGGTAGGGGAGAGGCGGTCACACCTCTCACGTGAGCACAGGGGCCAGTGTACCTTAACCCTTGTCTTTAAGGAGCAATGGAAGGAAATGAACAACTGGACGCTTTCGATAGTCCATAGAATCAAACAGCACGGGGATCTGTGCATGGATGGACAGTCAAGGATGGCAAAGAAGAGAACAAGTAGGGAGGTGGGGTCCTGGGAGGAGGATGACCCCCCTGCTGGAGCTGCAAAGGATACACTGAATACCCCAAAACAGCACGACTGACCCCTCAGGTAGGTGTCAGGCAGGTACTGCTGCTCTGAATCTGCCATGTAATAGCAATGCCACCTTTTTAAAGCACATGGTCATCACACCTGACTTACTTGTTGTGGCTTGTTTTATTTACGTACTTGGATGTACAGTTGTTACATCAGAAGAATTCCCCAGGAAAAAAAAATAATTTGTAAGCAAGTAAAGGGCAATTTTATGATTGAGCTAGAGCGATCTCCACGCGTGGGAGATGAGCTAATGCCATCACAGTGATGAGGGCTTCCCAGGGGCACAGGGGGCACTCCATTCATGTGCACTTCAACTCTAAGGCCACACCTTATAAATTTCTCAATTAATTAATGAGGCAGTAATATCCCCATCCAATGGAAAGCATTTTTTTAAAAAAAACAATATACTAGTTCTATGGCTATTGTTCATCTGAGGTCCAGCACTCCAGCCCTACACATGGACCGGGGGAGGAGTCCGCCCAAGGCTTGGCAGCGGGGAATGTGGGGAGGAGGGATTCGTCCCCTGCCTCCAGCCTGGAGTAAGGTCTTTGTGTTTTTCTATACAGGTGAGTTCTCTGGGACTGGAATAGCTTATCAGAAGTCATAGTATGCGGCAAGGCAGAGAAATGTGGGCTCTTCAAGTGGAGGAAGATGAGCGAACGTGCACTTGGACCTGCCGCCCGGGCAATCAGGAGCGGGCACCTGCTGACATCCAGGCTTCCTGCCTCGGACGATTCAGATGAAACATGCCCATTTCCTTCAAGTAAGTAGATAAAAACTTCTGAAATGCCGGGCTGCCGAAGGAATACAGCTGCCTCTGAATGCTTAACAAGAGGCCTTGGTGCTGCAACTCGGTGTGCTTGCTCAAAAGCACAGGCAATGAAGGCAGGCTCCTTTCTTGAGCAAACAAATGCAGTCAGCCAGGGCCTGAGTGACAGCGTGGTCTGAATGTCCCCCACTCTCCTGGGTCCTGGAGACCTGAAAGAGGCCTCAGGGCTGTAAAGGGGTGGGTGCTCAGATAACCTGGCATTCACCGCCTTTCCCTTGGCCTTGGTTTCGCCTGCAAGGGAAACGCTCACGTAGCATTTCACTTCCACCTTATCAAACTCCAAGGCGAGAAACCCTTTCCTATAAGCGTAGGTGTGAACAGACATGTACACCTCCCTCGTGCCGATCTGACTAGTTTTGCTGAGAGGAGTTAGCCGTGACGGGGGCGGCTGGACTTGGGCCCTGGCTGGAGATGTCCACCTGCCCATCCGCTAGCCTGCCCTCCTGTCCAGAGAGCATCCTGCGGCCCACGCCCGGCTGTCCGTGATGTACCGCTGGCTGGCTGCGAGAGCTCCGTCTCAGGTAAGACGAGGCACTTCTTTCCCGAAACACCGGCTCTAGTTGAAGAAGCATCGTCGTGCTGAACATCTTTCTACAAGAGACGTGGATGGTTTAATTAGTTGTTTAAATGAGTGGCAAGAAATTGTACCTACCCAACAGGCTTTTCCCCTTGCTCAGCTTCTGAATTCTGTTCATCTCATTCTGGCAAGGGAGACCTAAAAAATAATTTATGAACGTCAGTTTCCAGATGGTAGGGGATATGATCTCTAATGATTGACTTCGCTCTTGACGTGGAAGGCAGCTGATGACACACCTGGGAGCAGTGCTGCTCCACATGCTGTCACTGTGCGCGCACACAAACCCAGGCCATCAGTGTTACTAATGAACCAGAGGAAAAATGCCTCGTGCTACCAGGAGGTGCTAGAACTAGTACTGGGGGGACTGACTTGTACAGGAATTCTTCCTACCAATACCAAGAGTAGCTAGACATTTTGCTTTACTTAAGAAAGGAAGGGATCGGTAAGGTTTGGAAGAACTAAAGCTTCCTGCGGGGTGAGTGTTCAGGATCTACCCGGAGGTGAGGAGGACATGCAAGCCCGGATTCTGCTACGGAAGGGAGAGGATTCAAAGGGTGGGCTCCGAGCCCCTAGGGCAGCAGCCATTGGGATGAGGCACTCGGGACAGGAGCAGTCAGAGATGCAGCGGGTCAGTGTGAGGCCACGAAGCGAGGCTCTGCCATGGGCCAGTCTACCCATTTGCGAAATCCACATGGCAAGAGCCCATGAAAGGGTGGTGCAGTGGAGGGCATGTGGTTAACTAGAGGGTTTGCAAGTGTGCAGCCCCCAGGAGGCATTTCTAAGCCTCTTACAAGGAGAGGGAGCCTGTTTGTTCCCAGAGGAACTGAGCAGCTCTGGGAAGTTCCATGTGCTCAGGGCTCTCTGACTGTGGGTTCACCGGCACTGGTCTCCAGGTCTCCTACAAAGAGTGGAAGATCCTGTTCCCAGCTGTCGCCCTGTGGGTTTGACAGCGCCACCTGGACCCATCGTGTGCGCACTGGGAAGGAGAAACAAACGAGTATCCTAGCAGGTAGGTACCGACAGCATTCCTATTTCATAAATGCAGATTCTCTGCTTTGTCGCTTTGCAGAGGGAACCGAGTGTAGGCAAGTGTGTGACTGTCTGCTCCTGCAGACAAGAAAAAAATCAGGATCATTCATACCGACACAGAGGCAGACAGCTGGTATGAAGCAAGCTTCTAATTTTAGGATTCTTCTCTCAAATTGCCCCACAGAAAATGTTAAAATTCTGCATAGCTAAGGAAAACTAATCAAACTGTTGTTCTCACAGAATTTCTGAGTCAATTCGAAAGATGACAACAGAGCCCCGTTAACGGGGCTGATAGAGCGACCTGGCAGTGACGCTGCCAGGGAAGCGAGCAGGCCCCAGCCAGAGCAACACAACTCGGGGACATGTCCTTGTCTAAGTCGTGAGTAGAGCCCACTGCTCAAGACAGAGTCCAGGAAAACCTCTTTGGCTCCAGGGAGAAACCATTACATCATGTAGGAAAAACCAGTATTCATAAACCTGTGAGTACAGGGAGTTTAAAGTCTCCTTCCTTTATACTTCTGTCAAAAAAAAAAAACCCACTCCTGCATATTTGAGGAAGCTTGTAGAATTCCAACTTAGCAGTCACATGGTAGAACAGTATCAACCAGATAACAGTCCTAGATGTGGGAAATTCAGCAGTGCTCCCTGAAATTGTTGTTGGCTCAGAGAGACCCTCAAAGTGTTAACTGTACAAAATTTGTAACTTAGAGATAGTGCAAACATCAGGTCTCTATGCCTGTGACCTGCTAAAGCCGTGCTGTGACAAAACCTATAAGCATTCAAAATAGGAAACGCTCAACATGGCTGCTTGAAGTTTTATATTCAAATCACATTCATTACCTTGATGTATACAGACTATACGCACAGCATAAAGGATACTGTAACTTTATGTATATATGTATACACATACACACAGAGGGTACTTCAGAAAGCTTGTGGAAAACTAGAATTGTTATTTCGCTACAGCAGTTTTGATTCAGTGCATTCCTCTGAACTTTCTGAAGGTGCCTCATCTGAACGTGTGCCAGAGCAGAATGCCATGCGGAGGGGAGCGATGGGCACTGAGCAGCCCCGGATGACCACCTGCAGAGCTGGGAAAGGGCTCAGATCACTTGTGGCTGCAGAAACACAGTCTGAAGTGATTCCAGGTTCAAATGGCAGTAATGCAATTCTTTTATGTTTAATTTATGCATGCTGTCTTAAAGTCAGAAAATTTGCAAAGGTTAATGCAAGAGTTACGGCTTCTGAAAAGGCCGTGAAATAGAAGATGGAGAAATCTGACTACCTTGATGTTCCTCTTTAGCAAGAATGTACTTGAAATCAAACACTGGGAGGAAAAAAGAAAAGCTTTCTTCATCAAGGTTTTCCTACCAGAAAAGTAAGTCCATAGGAGTGTTGCAGTACAGTGTCTCAAGCACAAGGAAAGATGGCACACTTAGCTACAACCAGTAAAGAAATAAAACAAAGCACTCTGGGTGGTTGTCTGGTGCTGCCATACAGGAACTGCCATTTCAGATGGTTGGAAACAGTCCAAGTTACAGTGTGTTGCCCACTGTCCTTTATGACTAGCAGTTCTGCTAGGACTGGATCTTACAATCAGAGACATGTACACACGCTCTGTCGCATGGCTCGACCTTGCAGCCCTCCTGGCCTGGCTGTGTCTCCCCATCTAAAGTGCAGACTGTCACGTTCACTTTATCCCCAGACTCCCACCGTCCCCAGGAGGCTGGGATAGAGGAGAAATCCAGCCCTCGGAGCCGTACAGGAAGTCTGAGCACCTGCGCTGGACCCCTGCACGCCATCCCTGCAGGACTTGGAAACACACCTGGTACGTGTTCACGAGCTTTTTCCATAATTTACACATTGTTAGCTGGGACCTGTACCATTGTGAACCCGTGTTTATGGAGGCTAAAAAGGTGGACCTAAACCTGAAATAGCGATGACTACAGGCTGGGAGAGGAAGGACATACAGAATGGCTTCTAGTCTTCCACAGTGTGATGGGCGACTAGCGTTGACAGTAACTTGAGGGCTGCTTAACATGTCAAACGTAAGAAAATGGAAACAAGCTGACACGTGTGTTAATGTCACACTGTACTCCCTTATAGTTATTGGGTAACTCCCAAATAAACAAATCCTTATCCTAGAGACGATGATAAAAACAAACTTTACCCTGTTGCTTAGGAAAGGCTGTCTGCCAAGGCCAACTGGATGTTTACAACACCAAATGGCTTCAGAATTAACCTGCTCTAGATGTATTGAATTTCAAATTGCACCTGAAGATGCTGTGGGCCTAATGCAGCCCCCGGAGCGCTCATTCCCCGCCCATGGAGCAGGCTCCCAAGAGTTCGTTTGTTGATGGAAATGATGTTTTTACATTTCTAATTCTCCACAGGGGGAAGCTCCACAAGGGCCTGGGGAGTTGCGCAGTAAAAGTTTCTACACCCATTTAGGTTCCCAAGTGAGGAGCAGATTAAAGTCACAGACTTGTGACGGTTCTCTTGTGTTTTCTAACAGAGCCAGTCAGAAGCAGAAACGAGGAGCAATGAGCCTCTTGTAACTGGGGTGAGTTCTTTGCCCCAGCCTTACCTCCAGGCTTCTGGAAGCAGTAGCACCACTCGTTGTTGGAGAGCTTGCCGTCCTTGAAGGAGTCACAGGAGTTGAAGAGGGGCTTGATACAGGGCTCATACTTGTCCAGGTAGATGGCGTTGATCTCCGAGTGGTCGAGCAGCAGGTCATAGTTCATGTCCAGTTTGTTGAACATCCAGCCCAAGGAGTCCTTGCAGATGGGCAGGATGCTGGTGTCGAACCCTGGCGGGGAGGGGGCCAAGCCGGTACTGAGCCTCTACCCACCCGCGGCTGGCCCACGACAGCCTCCTCGGCACTCCCACGTGCCCTGGAGTTGGGGTCAGCTTTGTAAACAAAGGCATTTAAAACAGGAGCCAGCACTGGAGAAAAACATGTCCTGAAGGGAAGCTGTCTGGGATGGAACTAGAGGTTTTCACCTGCGAGGTGTGCTTGCACCAGCGTGGGCCTGAGAGGCAGGGTGCAAGAACCCAATGCTGCAGCCAGGCTTGTGTACTTCAGAAAACATACTTAAAAACTGAAATCAAAGAAAATACTGTGACGAGGTAACGGGAATGTGAGCAGGCAGAAGGGCTGAGTGTGGCTCCCAAGACCAAGCTCACCTACCCCACTGTAAATAGTTCCTTCTTGAAAGGGGGTACCTGCTCACATCCAGCAGGGAGGACACGCTCCCAGTTGGAGGCAGTAACCAAAGCTACCCACTCCCTGCCGTACTCTGGGCTTCAGGACTTCCACCCTAATGGCTTCTTTGGGGAGTCAATTTGCTTCTGGCCAGGGGCAGCTCTCAGGCAGGCCTCTGCAGAGACAGGAGTCCTGGAGGAGCGCCAGCCTAACCCATCTGCTCTCTGCTGTTAGGACACTGCAGCACTAACAGGTGTTAAAATATATATGTAAAATGGCCTTAAATCACCATTACTTTCATTTCCAAAATAATGAACACCCATAGCTAAACATTTCAGAAACTGGGACCTATTTTAACTACATGTGTCCATGATGTTTAAGATGGAATAAAATGGCAATAGTAAAAGTGTAAGTCTTACTGCCTTGCGCCGTGTCGGAGCTGGTGGGTTGGATCACCCTGTTGGCATCCTCGTGAAGGGCTCCAAACCAGTCTTTCAGGCGGGAAGCGAGGTG